AGTAAGAAGATCGCTGAAGAATAATGAAAATTACTGGATTTTCCTTCTTTGCCTCCTTTCCTTTCTTCCATTCTGCCTTCCTTCCTTCCTCTCTTCCCTCACTTATTCATTCAACAACCAGAGCTTCCTCTTTCAACCTGGTATCTGTCATTAAGAAGAAAGAAAATGTTTACTGTCCTCCTTTACTACTGAGAGAAGAGAGAGGAAAGAATTTCAGCACTCTAGTCAACATAAATATCAAATGTATTATTATTTCCAATGAATCTTCCAGGGGAGGGGAGTTTCTTATCCAAACCACCCACACAAAATATCTTAAGTGCAGTATCTTCTCATCAAGAACATAAGTCTACCAGTTAAGAAGTGAAAAAGCAGAAATAAGAAACAAATGCCAAAATCCTCTTTTTGGGGGGGGGGTATTTTTTATTTTTTGCAAATGCATTATAACCAATTGATGTCAGACTGTAGAATTTAGAATGCCTACGATACACGGCATAATGTGCCATCTGGGCTAGCCTGGATGTTGCAGGCAGTCACCTTACTTTTTGGTTCTGAGGTTAGGGTCACAAAGAGAACTGCAGTTGGTATCACATTGCACAAGCTCCCGGAGCTTGGGGGAGAATAATGACACGAATCAATAATGCTGTCTGGGAAATGGCTTAGAATAAAATATTACAGAAGGGCACGAACATCACCCAGGGGGAGACTTCAGCGCTGATTAAATATGGCTGCCTCAGCTCTCTTCCACGCAGTGACAGATGGTGCAGGAGTGCTTACTTTGGCTTTTGCTGCATTTTAGGGGAACTAGGGTTACTCAGGTAGCATGAAAACAGGGCAGTGCTTGCCAGTTCAGTTAGCTTCGCTGCACTTGGCTGCCCCCTGAAGGCCAAAGCTGTACACGCAGGCAAAGAATTCCCCCATCCCACTTCAACAGAATCCATAGCTGACAATAACTTTCAAACTGATTCCTTTCAAAGCCACCTTGCGAAAAGAAATTAACAAACCAAACAGAACACTCACGTAGAGTTCTCCTTTTCACCAATCCCCACACCTCAAAGGAAACAAAAAAGGATAGTTCATTTGTCCAAGTTAATAAAATATATTTAGTATATGAAGAATTAACAAAATACTCCAAATAAAAATTAGAATTTAAAGATTATCTAGATAGATGTCAACGTTAAATCACATTTAAATGCATGAAAAAAAAGTAACACAAATTTGCATGGCTAGTGTCAATAAATCATTCTTTTCTTATTTCTTCTACGTGTAAACTACCAAGTTTTGAAAAAGTATCATGCCATGCCACAAAAAAGAACTGCAATATTCTCCTTCCATCCCATCCAATTCTACTATAAACTTGTCATGGAATAATGTTAAAAAAATACTATTTATCCTACTAACTATTTTGGCCTTTCATAGAGCCTAAATTTAAAAAAAAAAAAATGATTTTATCCCTGGAGTAAAAAGTGTGGGTGGGAAAGGCATTAGCATTCAGTAGTCTGGGCACCGAATTTCCTCTGTGTGTGAATGCCTCTGTCTCTGGGTACCCTGTGATTGGAGACACAGGTCCAGAAATACTTGCTGCCTACTCAGCTCTGGTATAAATTTGATTGAAACCATTAGCTAAAATGTAATGAATTCCATGTGTCAGTCTTCTTTGGCATTTTTTTTAAGATAGGATTTTTAGAATACATAATTGTGATAAATCCACTCTGGATAATTTATGTTTTTTTTTTTCCACTACATTTCCATCCACATACAGATTTTAAACAGCCAAATGGGCATTTACATATTTACTGCTGGTTATAACTCCTGCTTTCTAAATTTACACTTTCAGCCACTTTTTTCCCCAATATCTTACTTCTTGGGAATTACTGAAGTAGGAAAACAGATTAACTTTTTCAGGCCACTGAAACCTAAAAACTTTTTTGTTGATAGTGAGGCAAACTTGAAACTCTTCTTTGAATATTGTGTTCCTTGAAATTTTTATAATGAATAGAGAGCATTTTGTGCTATCAATCTAATTCCTCAAAACTCAAGCTTAATAAATGTATTCTTTTAACTTTTTTTATGTCCTGAAAATGGTCTATTTTAAATAAATTACCTTTACTCAAAATTTCTTTCAGCCAGTGTCATCAATTAAGTCTAAATTAAATTGGCCACTCCCTAAAGTTTTTAATTCAGACAATTAAGTAAATACAGTAATTTGTCTCTTTTAACAAGATTTTCTTCAACGGTATAGTCATGCTCTTTTAAAATATGTACATATACAAACAAAAGGAAGTACCAGTCTCTCATATATAACATCCATTGTCCATTCTTGCGAATCAGACATTCTGAAAGAAAACAGTAACTGAAAGCCAATTTCCCACTGTACGGCCAGTGTGACCCAATCACTCAATGGGCTGCCTCACCAGGCACTAATTTCCCTCTTCCTGGAGAGGAGCAAGCCCGAGCTGGACGACCTTGTGACTGTGATAGCACGCAGTCATTGCCATCTGTATGAGTTTCTTGGAGCTGCTGTAACAAATTATCGCAAACTGGGTGATTTAAAATAACAAAATGTTATTTTCTCACAGTTCTGGAGGCCAGAAGTTCAAAATGAAGGTGTCAGTGGGGCAAGTCCTTCTGAGGCTCTGTGGAGAATCTGTTCTCAGCCTCCATCCTAGCTTCTGGTGGCTGCTGGCAACTCTGGGCATCCCTTCATTTACAGACACATTGCTCCAATCTCTTTCTCTGTCTTTACATTCCCTTCTCCCTCTCTTATAAGGACACTTGTCACTGGATTTAGAGCGCACCCTAATCCGTGAAGACCTCATCTTGAATTCCTTAACTTAATTACATCTGCAAAGACTCTTTTCCCAAATGAGCTCAGAGTCACAGAATCTAGGGAGACATATCTTTTTGGGGGAAGTGGAGGGCACTATCCAATCCACTGCACCCTCCGAGCTTGAATTTGTATGATGACATCTCACCTCTACTGGAAATCATACCTACAGGGGCCAGGTGGCCATTTGCCACCAGTCTTCATCCACATCAGCTCCTGCCTCCATCACAATTGTCATCTGCTGAATAAAAGGAGGGAACAGAACTCTATTTACATCTTCACTGGATATAATCTGATGTAACTAACTCTGTAAGATTTCTTTACATCACCACAGTCTACGTGTCTAAAAATGATCTGAAAAAGTCAGGGGCCAGAGAGACTTCCTAGGAGTGATCCTGTGACAGAAGCCATGCAGGATCTCTGTGGAAACGTGTCAAGAATTCCAGTGGTTTTTCTGACTTTCTTGCCTATAAATTGCTTTTAATGCACCTCCATTAAGGTGGTCTAATAGAAATCACTTTAACTGGGAAGTTGTGTGTAGAGAAAAAACAAGGAGTGATCGAAAGACATGGCATGTTTGATTTCTCACTAGATTTTATCACTTGCAGCTAAGATGAAAATTAGAGCACTTAGGTCATAGCTCACCAAGAAATTGAGCTAACAGGCTTTGTCCTAGTTTTTATTCACATGTAAAATAAAATTAATTCACAATGTTTACAGATGTGGACAGATGGGGAGTTTATACAATTTTCTTTTCTTGGTAGTTGAAGACTTTATACAATTTTATAAGCATATATACCTGTCTGTATCCTTCCTGTGTGTAAATTACAAACGAATATTCATGGACATCATTGTCAAAATGTTCTGTTCTTATCAATTGACTTTGCAGTTCTGAGGTTCCCTCCCTTTCCTCCGCTTCTTTCTTTTTCCTCTTTTAAAAAAATTTTTAAAATGAAGTTTTCTTTTAAGTCCTCTACGGTTACCGTGTTTCGGCCATCAAAGTCCCCTCCTAGCCATTTTCATTTACCTTGTGACTCTGACCCTTTGTGAAGCCGAGCATTTTCAGAGTAAACCGATCCTGCAGGTCCCCAAGGATGTTATTCTCATTTATTCACTCAGCCCTTTGAATGGAGCAGCCCTCACTTGGCAGCCATTCAGCAGACCAAGATTCAAAGAGCACACAATCCTTTTTCTTCCAAGGGCCTTTCAAAACCCAGTCCAAGGTTTGTCGAGGAGCTTTAATGGATGTCAGTCATTTAGCATGTTACATTTCATTCATGGCTGCCAGGGAACATGATGAGTAGGGAAGGAATAAAAGAAAACAGGCAGACAATAGGGCTAAAGGATAATTTTCTGAGCTTTTTGTGACGTGACATTATAGAGGGCATTTCTGAGCTGCCATTACTCATGATGGGTGAGTTAAAATAGAAGAGTTAATGTGCTTGTATTCAAAGCCCCACCAAAGCCTCCCAAACAACTTCAGAGACAGGATTTCAGGAAACCGGGGATCAATTTGAAATGTGGGTGCTGTGGATCTAAGACAGCTGTTCGGTGGGGCCCTACTTCCCCCCTAGGTGGGTGACTCCGTCCCTTTGTGCCATCTGCCTGGTCACCTCTGACAGCTGGCTCTCCTTTTCTGAACATCAAAATATTTGGGGCAGTCTCTGGGGACCAGCAGTAAGACAGGGAAGCTCAGTGACAGTCCCAGGGGGTGGGGAAGGGGGGAAGGGGGCGGAGGCTCAGGACTGCGCACCTCCGTACCTGCCAACTGGTGTGTCACAGACAGGCTAAAATTACGGACTAGTCAATTATCTGATTAAAGAGAGCCTTTCATTTGAGGCTTTTTTTTTTTTAATCCAGACTGAAATCTAAACCTTCTAGAAAGTTACCTCCCTCAAAAAAAAATTTTTTTTTAAGTTGGGCATAATCAACATATGGGAGGTAAATGATAAAAAGGTACAGGGAGAAACACTTTGTTACTGGCTACAGGCCATAAATTGTTCTGGGATTTTCTTTCTTTCCTTTTTTTCTCTTGGGTCCGACAGCAATATTATGAACTTACTTGAAACTACTGGCATCAGATTTAATCTGACTTACCTTCACACACACAGAGGAGCTACCAGGCTGATTGTATTTTTAAATTAGTAGAATCCGTTGATTTTAAAAGGTACCAGTGTTTCCCCAAAGCATTTCATTTTTTATTAGTTTTACAATTGCATTGAAATCCCTTTAAATTACAGAGTTCATGAATTATGCCTGTGTCAGGCAGCATCAGAGCTAGGGTTTTATGGCTCTTGGATTCCACAGATGCTGTTGTGGTTTAACACAACAATGTGCTGCTCCTTCACCGGCCCCGGTTAATGGCTTGCCCCGTGGTTAAAGGCCCCACACCGCACCGGGCAGGCTGGGCCGAGCCACCCTGGCCAGGGCTGCCAGGCCGGAACCGCACAACAATAGGGAAAACATTCCGCAGTCATTATTCAATATGTGCTGGGCTGACCTCTTGAAATTTTATTAATAGCTTCTCCATAGTTCAAGCTGTCCTGTTTGACAAAAAGAAAAAGACACTGTAAAGCTGTGGAGGCAACAAACAGCAACGCACAGGAAAAAATTAAAAGGCCAGACCTAAACAAAAAGAACATTCTTAATCTCTAGACTGAAGACCAGCTGGGGATGGGGCAGGGGCTCAAAAAAAAAATTGTGCCCCTTTGTTAGAAAAAGAAAAAGAAGAGAAAAAGAGGAAGAGGAGAAGGAAGAGAAGGAGGGAGGGAGGAATCAGGAGAAAATCTCATCCCCACCGTGTCTATTTCTCAGTTCCTAAATGCATGACCTGCTCTTCCCATCGAGTGTGAAGGATTTACACTGAAGAATACAGTGGTCACCAATACACATGCCCCAGCAGCCTTACAAACCTACGTACAGATGGATGCTGACAACAGTACATCTTAGTCTTTCATAGATTGTTTCTACCCTACAGTCCCCAAGAAAATACACATGCATCTGTGACTTTATTTTTTGTAATTTAATGCGACACCTTCATGACCTCAGTTATACAACAAACATTACTAGTGTTTACATCTGACTGTGTCTCCAGGACACCTTTTCCCACACAAAGTACAAGGCACCAGCCTGGCTGATGTGCACAAGTGCACCGAGCTAGATCATGAACCATTGTGGTTAGAATCAGAAATATACCTAGGGAAAATGCTTCTGCTACAGTTGCTGAACCTGACTTTGATTTAAATGTATCCTTCTGTTTTTCATTTATGGACTGTGTCCTCTTTTTAACATATGAAGAGATGGCAAAGGAGGGAAGATGTAACATACAAGTGTAGAGGGGCAGTGTGTGAGTGTGTGTGTGTGTGTGTGTCTGTATGTCTGTGTGTGTCTGTGTGTCTGTCTGTATTGGAGGGAGCCTCAGCTTTAGGGAACCACTTTCCCCAAAGGCATAAGAATATCCTGATTGGTTTGTCATGGAAATTTTGCCTGAGATCCTGACCATGCTTCTTAAAGGAAGTAAATTAAAGTACTGTCATAGATTCTACCTCAACTCAAAAAGACTTTGCAGCCCTGACTGTCTTCTTTTACTGCTCTGACAGGTGGGCACACAGACCCTGCCTGCAGTTTCAGTGGCCAGCAACTCACTGTTACTGTCTCAGCCCTTTCGTGATCATTTTAATTGTCAGGAAAGTATTTTCTTCCATGAGCTCAAATTTACTGCCCTGTGACTACCCCTGTTCACTTGTAGTTCTATAACTCTGCAGAAAAACTGACCTCTTTTGTGGAACAGCCTTTGAAATTTTTAACACAACTCGTCATTTTCTCAGGTTAAATGAACACATTCCTCCATTATTCCTTGTATGATATAGTTTCCAGACCCTTCACCATCCCTCCTTTGAACATGTTCCAGTTTGCTGTCAACTTCTCCCCTTAAGTGTGGTGTCCAGCACTTCCTGTGTGACCGGCAGTGAATGAGGTTAGACTAATAATTCCCGTGATGTGGACGCCATGTTGCAGTTAATAGAGGATGGACTGAGTTAGGTGTTTAGCAAGAGAGCCACGCTCTTGTGTTACATGAACTTGCAGTAAAACCTGAAGTATTTTTACACTTCCTACCAAATCAGATTTTCACCATTATCCATCCAAGAAATTGATTATTTGAATCTAAATGTAAGGTTTTTTTGTTTATACTGTTGCATTTCAACTTCTTTGTTCCAACCAGTCTTTCTAGCTTATGAAATACAAACATTCTAACTAACTCATTAGCTAATCCTCCTAATTTTGTGTCACTTGCAATTTTGATAAAACTTCCTTCTTTGTCCAAGGCATTGAACAATAAAAACAAGTGTCTTTAAAAATGAAGAATTCAATCAAGTACTTGACATCTAGCATTCAAAAAAATGTTAGCAGTCATTATCGCTGAAACTTTTCAGAGCCCTGCCTTTCATGGGTGTCAGTGCTCTCTCTCATGACTGTAGCTAATAAAGACTCATAAAAAATAAATAGAAAAACAGAAATATTGTAGTGGAAAGAGAGAGACCAGAACATGAAAATAAAGATGTATCTAATTCATGTACCCTTGGGAAAGTGACATCCGTGTTCCCGTGGTCCACTTCCTGATGGCAGTCAGGAGAATGGTCCACCTCCTGCCCTCAGAGCTTCCTCTGAAATGTGCTACCGGGTGCTCCTGGTTTTCCATCTTCACCGTTCCAATAAATAAAAGCAAAAAGAAGCAAACAATTTCAAGTGTAAGTCCAAGGTTTTGCATAAACAATGTTCCCATCATGTCGGTATCAGTAAAACGGAGGCCCAAATGAGTGTTATAAGAATTACAGGTGTCTCTCGCTTTTCGAAAGTTCTCTTTAGTCCACTTCACTTTTACAAAAGATCTACATTAATACCTATTTTCACTAACAGGAAGAAATCCAGAGAGGATTATTGCTTTTTTTTTAAAAAAAAAAAAAAGGTGAAAAGTGAAAATAGTGGTCAGTGTTTGTTTTGCAGTGAGCTGAATAGAGGCAGCGAGAGTGGCTCTCCCAAGATTCTTCCCTGGAAACTGCGCCCAGCATCTCGGCATCAAGCTACCAAAGCTTTGAACTGTGTCCGTGAGGCTCTGTGCTTTATCTTGATTTATTTTGTACATCCTTTAGCAAGATGTGTCCTAACGTAACTGCTACTTCACTTCACACCATTTTGGCTTACAGAAGATTTCAGATCAATGATCTACTTTCAGATAGTGGGGAAACCTGTATTTACCTATGCTTTAGGTAAATAACTGAGTATTTTTTATTGTGGTATGACAACAAACTACAGGATGTTTCCTGCTTCTTAAGCATTTACTTGAAGCAAATTTCCTTCGGTGCAATATCACAAAGTTTAAAACGGCACTTTTTGGAAAATATTTTAAAATATTATGAAAACAAGTAGAAACAACAGTCCTGAAATCTGGTAAGTGCTGTAATCTTTACACTATTTGTTTCTTCAATATATCTGCGTTTATTACTTATTTATATACAACATGAATAAATTGCCTTTATAATGTGCGGTTTTGGTATGCATTAAATAAGTCCAAGTAAAGGAGGGTTTTATAGGCAATATACTATCTTTTCTTGTCTATGGTCCCTCATTGCCTATATATGTTGTGGATAAAGGCCAAAACAATATTCTTTTTCTAGAACATAAAATTTATAATATAGAAGGAATATAGATTTTACATCTGTAAACTTTAGACCTTTTAAAAAGTCTCAGATTATATAGCAAAATAATTTAATCAGCACCCTAGAATCAAATTGAAAGGGTAGACTATATTTACATACCCAAAAATAAATATAAAACTTACACTTCTACAAATTTATCGTAGTTTTCACTGTTTTAACATATTTAAGAACCTGATTTCTAAGAGACTGGTTTTCTACCCATATCAATTTTTTCTGTATAAAAAATAATTGTTATATGAAACAAAGTTCTAATTACGCAGCATTTGAATTCATCAAAGTGGCTTCTCACTTATGAGAAACATAAACAGGCATGTAAGCATACCTTCAGATATGATAGACTAATGTTAAAGACTAGTTAAAATACAGGGATGTGATATTTTTAAGGAGTCCCACAGCTGAGAGATGTGGTAGAAAGGGCTCTTTATCATGTCATGGTGGAATCTCCACTTTTTCAGCGACCTTAAGCAAGCCATGTACCTGTTCACTGTGCACCACTGTAGTTGGACACTGACCAGGCTCCTTGCTGTCACTGGGAGTTCATTGATCCTGAACCACTGCCTTGTTCACCCATGCTGGGGTCCTGTGGTTACTAAGGCTTGAGTAAAATGCAGTAAATGAAGAACAGGAGTCTTAACTGACCCGGGTCCTTCCTCTCCATGATGACCACCTTCTCGGCCACCTTGGAGATAAAAGCACATGGGATCCTTCTATGTCACTGTCTTCTGCCTACTTCTACTAATGTTTTCTTGTGACTGGTCATTGATTCTCTAAACACTAGCTGACATTAGATGCTTTTCACATCTGCTCATACCAGGATGGCTGAGAAAACCAGTAAGAAAGAAATCTTCCAAGTTAAGACCCCTGACCAAAAAAGAACAGTTTTAAATAGATATCATTGCACCAGGGGACCATTTTGGTTTTGTAAACTCTTTGAGGGAACAGAGGGACCAGTCTATGTTAGCCCCACTTCTATAAATCTGTTTCAGCCTCAATGAAAAGTTATTTTTTTTCTGACTCCCGTGTAAATACATTCTATAGATCTAAAAACATTTCCTGGAGAATTAATTATTTACATCTTTCTTTATGAAGATAAAAGGATCTGATTTGTTCATGATTTGATTTTTACTCATTCCAACATTCTAAACATGTTAATCTAGAATTCAAAAATCTCTCCTATAATCCTCATGAACGTTTCCCATTTGCTTTTTTTAAACTTCTATTTGTTGGAATATTCCCTTATTTTCATTTGATAAAAAAGAAAAAAAAAGTCGATCCACCCACCTCTAAAAAAGATAATAAACAGGTTACTCTTTCAAGAGCTTACAGAGCACAGAAGTGAATATTTTCATTTGTTACTGATAATTCTGCAACAAAGATATTATGTTTATACTTCCATTACAGAATAGGATACTGTGCTTTCCTAAGATCACAGAGCTAGAAGTTATGGTATTAGGAGACAAAATTTAGTTCTGTTCAGAGAAATACTGATTCCCTTCTCTGTTTCCTTCCCTCAAACCAGCCTCTCAAACTCCGGCATGGGCCCATAGTTAGCACTAGGCTTCCTTAATGCATAAAGAAGCCCAGTTCAGCAGTCACGGCCCCCAGTGATCATCCCCTACAGGAGAAATGCCCAGATTTCCCACTGATTTGCCCAGAGGTGTGTGTGTGGATGTGTGTGTGCGTGTGAGAGAGAGAGGGAGAGAGAATTTATTTTTATACAATTCAAATGTATTGGCAGGGATTTAAAAAGCACCAAAAGAGATGGAAAAAGAACTCCTTCTCTTTAATGCCAGAAGAAAAAATAATTATCCGTGTTACCATAAAACCTGTATGAACATTTCAATGTGAAACTCACCCTGCCTTTTTTCCTAACATGCAATCCATTAGGCCATGTTAGAATTTATTCTAACTACAATGCTATACTTTCATGCATTATTGTGTATTTGTAATGAAAGGGTTTGCTACTTTGGCAATTATAGGGAGAAATTAAGCAAAAAACTAAAGTATATTCTACAGAGGACCCAAATTACAGTAGTGACCAGTTGTACATTGATTTAATCTAGACCTCAGGAACAGCAACAAACCTTAAAATATCAACCTTTTATTTGCATGGTAAGGAAGATCAAATATGTGCTGTATACAGTAAGATCTGAGAAGATACTGGAATAATATTAGCAACATATAGCTGTGGCAGTGACAGAGTAAAGCTACTACTTAAAGCAATAGGTTCTCTGAATGCTATTGGGTTCTAAGCAGCTTGTTATCAGTATAGTATCAGTAAATGATAAGAAAATGATACCTTGCCATGGAATAAGGTGTCATTCTAAATTCTACTCACTGCTAGATTGAGTTCTTTAGCACTGGGAGGCATTTAATAGCATCTCTTTGATCTATACGTAAGAAAACATGGCTGTGAGTAGCTCTTCCAAGAAAACATAGATAAATGTCTGAGCTAGACCTAAACCAGGACCTCTGATTTCAAATCCAGTGTGCTTTCCCACTGCAGTAGGCTCACAAAAACTCCAAGACACATATTTCAAACAGGATCCGCAATTTGGAAAATTTATTTTGAATTAAAACCTTGTGCCCTGATTATTTTTCATCAGTGTTTATCTTTGTATGTTTCTCTGCCCAGAGGGTTGTCTCTTTTGGATCACTGCTATCTGATTTTTCTAAACATTCCTGTGTGTCTTTCTCTCCATCTCCATAACTGCTTTCCATTTTTAAGCCTTATCTCTACTTTTCTTTTTATTCTAAGTTTTTTCTTTTTTGATTTTCTGAAAATATAAAGTAACATGACTTTGTTGTCAAGAGCTTGGATGCTACTTATATATTCCTGATACTTAGAGTTATCTTTGAAATTGATTTCCTCTTTATAATTTTTATCAAGTTACCTAAGCCCTTTCATCCTTTTGAATATTGGTTTTTGAAATTTGCTTTGTAGGCTATGAGAATTCTGCAGATGAAAAAAAAAATAGGAAGAGTGTGGTTAGGATAAAGAACAAGACCCTGGCGTGTAATCAATATGATTCAGTGGATAAGTAGAATTTCCGATTGTTATATCAGTTTTAAACCAAACTATGCATTGTCCAATTCAGGAAGCTTGATTCTTCCAACATGTTTGAACTGTTCTCTGGCAGAGTTAAGTGCTTTGAGAACAGAACAAAAACCAACAGAGTTTATGGTGTGGTAGAGCCTCAGATTCTCAGATTCTAAAGACACAAACACAGGACATTTTAACTGCTAAGGATTTACTCCAATGGATATATTAATGCTTATAAATGTACTATTGCCATGCTCAGATAGCCAGTATTTTATATATTTTTGATAATTGTATCTATTTCAGAATTAGGGACAGTAAAGAATTTTGAAAGGGAAAAACCTGAGTTCAGATTCTACTAGAGCCACCACTTTCTAGCCGTGGAGATTTATTTAACTTTCTAAGCCTCACCTGTAAACACTGCAGGGTTTTCATAACAAAATAATGTACACAAAGTGACTGTCATATATTGGGCTCCCAGCAAGTGATATGATGATAATAATGATGATGATGATGGCAATGATGATGTTATTGAGATCTGTCATTGAGTAAAGAAGAGAGAGGAGAAAACCAAGCTTTTGGGTAAATCTTAATAGCAGATATAGTAATACAAAATAATATCTAACTGTGAAAATTGCAAAGGGTAACAACAAGTTAGAAATGAGATTGGTGTTTCATTAAATGTCTTCTAGGGAAAAAAAACTTTACTCTTAAAGACCCACAGATACTATTCTGACAAAACTATAAAATTTATATTTGGCCTTGATGTAATAAACAATTTTAAAAAGCAAATTTATGGAACTTTACTGAGATTTATTAGTTTGTTAAAATGTTTTCCCCAAAGTCTTTCATTTTGCAGTACATGATTGAGAAAACATAAAATCTCTTTTTAAATAATTTACCATTTGAGTAAATGGGAATAAAACAGAGGGTTTGAAGCAT